TGAATCTATGAATCTATGATGGTGCCCAGAGAGGCCATGCGGAACCGGGCCTTGACTAGGAACTTGTTTAGCCCGCGCAGGTCTAGAATGGGATGAAGGCCCCCTTTGGCCTTGGGGATGAGGAAGTAGCGGGAGTAGAACCCTTTCCCCCTTAGGTCTAAGAGTACTAGCTGTACCGCTCCCGCCTCTAGGAGCGAGTGAACCTCCTTTTCTAGGAGATGCTCGTGAGAAGGGTCCATGAAGAGGGATGGGGAAGAGGGGTGGGGAGTAGGCAGGGAGGAAAACTGTAGCATGTTCCCGCTTCGCACCGTGCGTAACACCCAACGGTCTGATGTAATGCTGGACCACGCACGGAGAAGCGGAACAGGCGGTTGAGGAAACAAGGGGATGGATCCGGTAGTTGATCTGGTACGCTGTCCTCGAGCGCACCTTCAAAAGCCTGGCTTAGGGCCCGGCTGAGATTTATGTTGGCCTTGGCTCCGGCCCGGCCTATTGGAGTTGTTGTTATTATTGCGCCACCTCCTGTTGTCTCCGCCTCCTCTGCGGTAAGGCTCCTGTCGAGGACGAGGCTGATACTGGCGCTGGGGAGGAGGCTGTGGCTTGAAGGGCTTCCTCTGAGTCTCCGGGGTGTGCATACCCACCGACTTGAGTGTAGCTCTAGAGTCCTTGAGGCTATGCAGCTTTGCGTCCGTCTGGTCCGACAAGAGCCCGGACCCTTCGAAGGGGAGGTCCTGGAGCGAATTTTGGACCTCAGGCGGCAGACCTGACTCCTGCAGCCATGCCGAGTGCCGCATGACCACGCCCAACGCGATTGTCCTGGCTGCTGCGTCCGCCGAGTCCAAGGACGCTTGGAGGGAGGTTTTCGCTACAGCCTTGCCTTCCTCCACCAGGGCCGTGAACTCCTGTTGGGAACCTTGCAGGAGGTTGTCCTTAAATTTCCCCACTGCTGCCCAGGAGTTGAAGTTATGCCTATTGAGGATGGCCTGCTGGTTAGCAATCCTCAACTGGAGGCCCCCTGACGAATACACCTTCCTGCCGAACAGGTCTAGGCGTTTTGTTTCCTTGGCCTTAGGGACCGGAGCCTGTTGCCCATGGCGCTCTTTCTCGTTTACCACCGAGACTACAAGGGAACATGGGCTCGGATGGCAGAACAAGAAGTCGTATCCTTTTGACGGGGCGAAGTACTTGCGCTCCACACCTTTGGCTGTTGGTGTGCTGGATGCCGGGGTCTGCCATATAGTCGTGTAATTAGACTGAATGGTCTTAATGAGCGGGAGCGCTATTCTGGATGGACCTTCTGGACTCAGAATGTCCACCATGGGGTCCTCCTGCTCAACTGTCTCCTCGGCTTGCAACCCCAAGTTATGGCCACCTTACATAGCAGCTCTTGGTGGGCTTTGTGGTCTATTGGTGGAGGTCCTGTTACCGCCGTGCCTGCTACTGCTTCATCCGGGGATGACGAGGAAGTTAGCAGCTGCTCAGCTTCCTCCGGCCGGTCTCCCTGGTCCTCCTTCCCCAGGGGAGAAGCTTCCAGCTCGAGCTGGGGGCGGTGGCCTGGGGGCGGCACCGGATACGGTGCCAGACTCTCCGGTCTCTCGCTCGGCACGGCTGCGGGTGGCTTGGACACCATAGCTTCCCTTATGGAGGACCATCAGTGCGGGGACCGGGACTGCTGCACTGAGTAGCTGGCCCTGGAGGGAGCACCTTGTCGCTGGTGATAGGCCAAAGGCGTCC